TTCATTACTTGACTTGCATTAATTGCATTGAGTGGTTTGGTGCCACTTAACATGGCCACTTGTGGTTTAGAGGTGCTGACATGACTAATAAGGGTACAAAGACTTGCCATAATCATCAGGTATGTAAGAGTTTTAATTTGAGTCGATGAAGTATTATCCAAGACATGTGAGTTTGATTAGCAGACTTTAGCGTAAGAGTTGACCTCGTGCTAGTGTTTATTGTTGGATTTGTGCCGTTCTTATTAATTGTGGTTACTTGTTGGGGCTTGTTCTCTTTGCGCTGTTATGTTCAATGAGGTTTAGGCCTATATCTACATGAAGACCCAAAAGGTGGGACTTATGACCTTGAGGTTGAGGAAAGTCATTACTAGGACTTACAGCCTTGGCATGAATTTTTGGAACTTTTTGAGGTCCAAGGTGCAATGGCTTGCTTTTTGTTATCTTGGTGTGTTTATCAATTTATTGGCACAAGTATCGCACTTGTGAATTATTAACTGGTATATAGGAGGATCTATGGTGCTTAATTTTATGCAATTTAAGTATGTCATATATGATTTAGTAGTTCAATGTATTAATACACATATCAAAGGAATGCATTAAGTTCGTCTATAGTTAACCAGAGGCTGAACATTTATAACCAAAGGTCAAATAAACTTTCCTCAATTTTATGGGAGTATATATAAAAATTTTAAATTTTTTTGATGCACAAGCCACGAAATGATTTCATGTATTTAAGATTCAGCATGAGAGCTAGCTTATAAGGTGAGTTATGAATTTCTTGTTTAGTTATTTCACTTTTGAATAAAATGATACCATCTACTTGTCTATGTTATGGTAAGCAAGTGCACTGCTATATCCCTGATCTGATTTCACTACTTTGATTTGAGGCAAGAGTGGAGCTGCTTAAATATCAACTTTTTTCTTATTTATTTATTTAAATACTAGTTAAGTGTATTGATGAGGGAAGGTAGATAGGTTTTGTTAGTTTTAATAATTCACTTGAATCCAATTCTACATGGATATATTGATTCTTTTAAACTTTATATGAACATTTTAATCCTTTTAACCATTGATTAATGAGTTTTACGATGTTACTGTTGAAAATTCATGTAGCTAAGTTAGTAGAAGTTTACTGCTTGTGGAGCGCATAATATTAAAAATTATGTGATGAAACAGGGACCATTCCATTTCAGCTTCTCCTTCTATTCCTTAGTGCACAAGCAGATTGCAGAACATACAGGGCAGAATTTGGTGAATTATTAGTGAGGTCCACATGCTTGATATGAGTATAGATGAGATCATGTCTTTGATTAATCTTTTTAATAAGAAATAAATATTATATATCAAATCCTATCCAAAAGTTCACAGCACAAGGTGATGAGAGCCCATTGAATGGTTTTCAGTGGTTATTTTTTAATGTCTTCCCAATTTATATCTAATGCAACTTAGGATCTTAAACCTTTTAGAAGAGCACTAGGCATGCAGTTAATAACTTCCTTTCAATAAAACATGAGCAAACACCAACATAAAGTAACATAGTAGGAAACAAACGTGAGAAAATGATTAGGAAATCTCGTAAGAAAGAAAATATTAAAACACAAACTATAAAAATCCTTTGAACAACCACAATGGGTCACCTCACATGCAACTCACAAAATTAGGGAAATGTGCTCAGAGGAAATATCTAACCAGTGATCCGCCATTAAAATTTTGATCCGGCATGAGTTTGCATTCCTCAGGCAAAAAATAACAGAATAGGGTAATAACACCACCTCACAACTCACAATGTTTAGAGAAGAAAGATACAAGTGGAAGGGAAACCGTGGAGAGAAGAAGTAGAAAGAAGACCGAGAGGAAGTATTAGGGCTTAGGGAGAAGACTAGCTCGCAAGCTAAGAGGGAACCCTCAGGATTAATTTTTTTTCTCCAAAAAACTCCCCCCAATAGAGAATCAACCACTATATATAGGAGGGGAAAAGAGCATTTTTTCACTCACATAAATGTGCCTTCAATACAACCGATAAGAACCATCCAAATCAGCCTATTAAAGGAGAAGCCAAAGCATCCTGCGTTGAAATCGGCAATGGAAAACCGAACTGTTAGCAAGGGAAATCGAACAGTCACCTGGGAAACCGAATATCTAGCAGGGAAACCGAACATAAATCAAGTGGAAGAATCCAAGCAACAAGCAACCTAAGGGGAGAAATGTGCCAAGCCCAATAAGGAAAACAACCCTTTTTTAAATGCCCAACCAACCTCCAAGGAGCAAGGAAGCAAGATCCGCACAAGTGGAATGACATTGGTGTGAATCAATTTGAGAGCACTGAACCTCATGGGCTATTTTCCATTATTAGGCAATACAAAATAAAATACATAGCGTTACATAAAAAAGGTAAAATTCATAAAATGTAAATTTGACTACATCCATAGCTAATTAATATAGAAAATATGGGTTGGCAAATTTGGCTTGTTCTCTGAGTTGGGACATAGCTGATTCACATCCATTGTAAACTCCCACTTCAGTTTTGCTTAGGGTTGGCAGTAGTTCTTACAGTCTGTCACCGTTTCTTGACATTTAGTGGTGGCTTCTGTCATTACAAGTGGCAGTAGAAGGAATTCAGTGGTTGCTTGCGTGATGGAGAAGTTAATGGAGTTGTTATGGAAGTAATGTGATGCATTTAGATTTTTGCATTATTTTTGTTATGAACAATATTGGTTATATTTTCTATTTTTGTTTTATTTTTATGCTATCCAATGATGGCCTTGGTTTGCATATCTAAACCTTATTTTAAAATATATTCCTACAATCGGTGCATGTGAGGAGTCCTCTAGTAGGATGTTCTGAGGATAGTGTTTGTTTGTTTTATGTTTGTTTCTTTTGCTAACTTTTCTTGTTGCTTTGATTTTTTTGGATGATCCCTACTTTTCTATTCTGAATTTTAGTGGTTCATTTAGTCTATTGTGTTCTCCAAAAGTTTCTCAAAGTTATATAAAAGTGAGTTTTGATTTACTTGGTTTTCTCTTTGAGTTTTGTTCTAAGTATCTTACATCATAATGGAACACACTAAAGATGTTCAAGTGACGAGATTGAGGACATGCAACCCCTTCCTATTGTGTTAATATATTTTTAGAGTCGATTAAGCGTCAAGATGTACTCTGGTAGATGCCATAGGGGGGTATGGCATGACTTACGCATAAGAAAGGCCAGGAGATGATCCTTAATAGCTTCCATGGAGGGTTGTGATACAATTTATACCAGATGGAAACAGAAAGAAACAAAATTTCACATATTATACATGAGCTCATTCTGATCTTTGGTGGCCATCACCTTTCTCACACACTTACTAGTGATCTCTTTTTTAATAGGGGTAAGCCATGTATTTTTGTTGAGAAGAGGAGTGAGTGTTGAGGTCTCAGTTAAGAGGAGGCAAGGGAGTAAAAGCTTGATTGTGAGGTTTGTTTTCACAATTTTGTGTCGCGGAGGCTTAGGCAATGTAGAAAGTTGATTGAGCGGTGCTGTTCTGGCGCGGGACTTTGCGGAATTGAGTCATAGGTATCGTGGTCGAGCTTGGGTGTTGTGGGTTTATATGTGAGTGAGAATTTCAACTGGATGGGGGACGACTGGTTACAGGCATTAATGAGGCCAAAAATCAGAGAGGGAGACAAAGTCAAGTAGAAGATGGCCACAAGTTTCAAGGGCTGCTTCTCCTGTTTGTTTGGGTTTGGATTCCCAAGGCTTGTAGCTCACGTGATTGGGAGAGACATGCGTGTAAGGGAAATATGTCTTCTTGGGTTGGATTTAGTAGCAATCGATTTGTTAGATTTTTGATTTTTTTGTTCATGGATCTGTTAGGGAGATCTAAAAAATCAGAAAAAAATCATCTAATATTGCAATACTTTAAATTAGGTGAATATTTAACTTCTAAGCTTAATTAAGTTATTTAATTAAGCTTTATGAGGAAACTCATATCTATTTATGTTAATTATGTATTTAATTAATTAGTTAATGTTATTCAATCCCAATTTTGCGGAAAACAATTATGAAAACCATAAATGAGCTTTTTAGAACCAAGACTTCTAATTTCAGTTTTCCATTTCTCTTATGAAAAAAGACCTCGACCAACTCCCGAACAAGGATTTAGTTGAAAGTTAGGTCTTGAAGCAGTCTAATTCTTTGACTGGTTAATTGTTTACAATTTTGTAATTAGTGAGTAGTTCATAATTAAAACAGGAAATCCATACGATTAATCTTAGATTGATTCGTTAAATGATTGATTAATCTACTTTTAAATCAATTTGGATAAATAATTATTGATTAGCTGGTATGTTCGCAAAGTAGTCTAATTAGTGATATATCAGTTTGTTAATAAATAAAATAACTTTTTTTTTTAATTAAACGTTAATTAATAATTAAGATATCAAAATACTATATTTAATTTGGCTGATTAATATTTGAATAGTAATGTAATCTATTTAATCATGATTAATTCTTTTAAAATTTATTAGTGTTTATTATTGCTTAAATAGGATTAAATAAGGCAGTCCAAATGACGCATTTTTAATTTGTTGCTTTGCATTGCTGATGGATGGTTTATCTTTGGGTTATGCTATATGTATTTGATTTTTTTTTTATATTTCTATGTTACAATTTTAGGCAATTGCCTTTGTTGTACTTATATAATGTTAAAGACAAACACCTTCAGAATTCTATTTCATGTTAGTACACAATAATATTTTATTCAAATTAGTAGATTACCGTGGTTAGTTGTAGTTGATTTGCAGTTTTTCTGGATTTATAAATTTCATATTTCTAAAACATCACTATCATCCAAAGTCTCCTTAGTTGAGATTGATTACTTCTTCTATACGTCTTACGGCAATGCTAGGATAATATATGCTGATAAAGTTTGTGGGTATTTTGTTCTTTGCCCCATATGGTTGCTTCGTTTGACAATTTAGTATTGAAGATTTTTGTGCTAATTTAAAAAAAGTTCATTTCAGCATGCCCCTATGGGAAGTTATAGCTCATATGGTCTCAAATGTTTCTTTGCCTACACCGGGGAAAGATAGAATCTTATTTGCTATTGAGAACTGCCTTCTTTCAGTAGAGGCTCCACCAAAGGAAGGACTTCCTCATGCAGATGTATGACTACTTGTCACTTTCAGTTCTTATAATGAAGTATATTTTGCATATCTTTCTTAAGTTTTTGGTATTCTCCATGCCACACTTGATTGAGATTGCAGAAGATGACATAGCCTTGTCAATTTCCTGGTGCACAGATTTCATTCCAGCCATTGGTGCAATGTTTGGACGTTGACAATTTGATAAGGCTTTTCACCGCTGTGTTGCTCGAGAGAAGGATCTTATTACGATCAAATAAGTTATTTTCATACTTTGAGCTTCCCAAATTGTAACACTTTTTAAATTCATTCTTTCGTCAGCTTCTTTAATTTATTTATTTAACATAATTAGTGCTTCATATTTTTTTCACTATTGGATACTCTCTCTGTTTCTTTTCTTCTCAACTTAACAACTAAAATACAATGCTTGACAAGTGACCATCTATATGAATGCAGAGTTTCATTAGACCACTAAAATCACTAAAAAGTAGTTGTTTACGGAATAATTACCACCGTAATAATGATCAAGTAATATGAACATGAGATGTGAAGGTTTTCACAACCTCAAACAAAACACTTCAGAATCTGACATTAAAATGTTGAACTTGCAAATCCCCGTGCAAAAAAATATGCTGCTCCCTTTATAAAATATCCAACATCACATTTGTGATTTCTGCTGAGAAGTTTAGAAAGAAAGCACTGTTTTGCAAGTACACCTCCTCCTTGGATTTATGACCGTACCAAATTCATTTGTTTAGCAACTTATTCATCTTTTGGGAGTAGTGGTGTCACGACCCGGCCCAGTTAGCTCGTAGATACGAGGCGGGAACGAGATCGGACATGTAAATTTAAGTACTCCTTATCAATTCCATTTCAATTCTAAAGATATTCAAAAATAATAAAAGCGCCTCTAAATTTTTTCCAACATAGATAACATTTAAAACCATCACAAAATAAGTTCATATACAAGGTGGTATACACTAATCTATTAATTCATGATAAAACCACCCAAAATTGATAACTAAAAATAACAGTAAGAACCTGCCACCCGTTGCGCGTCTACTGTAGGTGAACCTCGGGTGTTCGGCCATCACCTAAGCGTAGGTTCTCCTGAAAATTTCTCAAAACTCGGGAATGAGCTATGCTCAGCAGATATTTCTAATCCTAAATATGCTCATAAGACTAAAATATGAAATGTACATTTTTAACTAAAAGGGGTCATGCTTTTCTTTTTCTAGTCATGCTATCTTGTTTATGTCATATAAATGAGAAATGAGAAATCATTTGGGTACCATATGCATGTGTCATTTGATATATATGAAATGAATGTCGTCTCAAAATGCTTACTTATTATTTTATACAACCATCCCGGAGTACCAAGAGTGTACTGATCAGGTACACAAACCTCTTTTGGCCATTTATTTCTTTTTTTTTTCCTCATTTGCCTCAAGGGCCATCTGTGCCTTTGGCACCGTCTTTGGTACTCCGTAATCCATCATACACAATCTTTTCATATGAACATACATTCCTTTCTTTTCATATAAAATGTTTGACATGAAATCTTTAAACATGAATTTGATAGCACTTAAGCATGAAAGCAACAATGATGTATTTTGCATGTGTAATAAATATTCTATTCTATTTCTATAAAACATGTGATAAATATTCCATTTCTAAAAAACTTATCATAAAGGCTTTAACTTATAAAATGATATAACATGAAATAACAAATGAACATGTAAGGAAAAGAATTCCTACCTCCAAAAATTATGAATTCCTCCTCCTTTCCTCTTTAATTACTCTTCTTCTTCTTGCCACCACCTAAAGGAAAATAATTTAACTTAAACCTTGCCAAAATAAAATTTCTAATTCTTTTAGAAGCTTCCTATAATCTTCCTACACCTATTCTTAAGGTATAACATCATAAACCTCCTACCAAACTTTGATGTTTTTATTAATAAATTTGGGATTTAAATAAAATATAAATTATAAGAACCTAAAAATTCATTCAATTCATCCTAAGTCCTTCTAAAACATTCCCCTTTCTTGTACATAACAATAAATCATTATTATTTTCGGAATTAAATCATAAAATAATTAAGAAAATTATTTTTCTTCTCAAAATTGTAATTTCTTTTATTTAGATACCTCTCTAAATCATTTAGAATGGCTTTAGTGAACATGCAAT